TCTAAGAGTTCAAGTATCGCTAGAGCAGCAACCATTGCAGACAACATTTGTAAAGATAACACCACTAATAGCACTATTGATGCAAAATTGTCTGCATATCTCAAGTACAGTGTATTCAACTTCTTCCAAGATGTTTTATTAGGGAGTAGCAGGAGAAATAGCCTTTGTAGTACTAAGAGGCTCTTGGAGAGAGTTTAGACAAATAGACTGTTATTCATGCTTGTTGGTAGCAAAATCTTTGTGTTGAGCATATTGTAGCCACATAAAATGCTGCTGTTTACAATCATACACCTTGAAAATTGTTCTTGTGAGATACCTTAGCTAAGTAGGGTCAGATCTGTTTGATACCTGAATGATAGTATAGTACTTGACATCTGTGGCACTCTGTTTCCAAGAACTTCAGTATGGTTGCAGGCACTAATGAATTAAGCTTCACAATACCTGTGGGATAGAAAATATTTCCATTTAGTGATGGGGAGAGCTAACCAAGATGCAGGAAAGTTAAAGGTGATTTTTTTTTGTGAGTGTGTAAGTGAATTTTTAAAGGTGATTTTAGGGAGAAGTAGATGACTTTATTCCAGTTGTGCAATGTACAGTAGGCAGCTCTATGTTGTGTTTGCTGCTTCATAAGTTTCCTGACAAACTCTTCATCTTTGCTGTATTGTGAGTTGAAAAGCACATAGAATGATAGAGTTTGCACCAAAATGTCGTTACCTATTTTCATTATTTTTTGTCTTTTTTTTTCCTGGTGCTAGATTTTCATGTAGATTTTTTTTTTTGCAATCTCCAGGTGTTTTTGATTTCAATCAATAGAAAGGATTGAAAGGATTTATCCAAATGAATGTGAAAGTATGTGCAGCCATTTCTTAAATATTTCCATGAATAACAGCTTTTTTGCAAAAGAGTGAGTGCTTAGTATTGTGCATGCTGCCCATTGAAAGCGAGCAGTGTTTGGCACCTATGGCCTACTGATAGTTTGACCAACTTGTAAGTAGGCACACTGCCATTTTAACAGATGGATATGAATACAGGCAGCCAAGAAACCATGTATGTGTATCTAGTGTATTTGTTAAGGGCAGGGTTCCCAGCTGGGGATGTTCAAGCTTATGTCCATTTTGAATTTTTGCTTTTATGGATAAAGGGAAGTTGTGATTAATTTATAGTTTTGTTTTTTTTTTTTAACTAAATACCTTCAGGCATGCAATTCTTGACCATGTTAAACAAAAAAGGGGGAAAAAAAAGAGGGAAACACCAGCTCCTTCCTTAATACTCTTGAGGAGCTATTTTAAATAAACTTTATTCCTTTTTAAGCGGGACTGCTATCAAGAGACTTACTGTGAATGTTAGAGATGTGAAGTGTATGAATAGTTTTATTTCACCGACTTGCTAACTTTATTGAAAAAGAGGCTACTAATTTTTCTTTTACTGGGACAGCAGTCCATCCAGCATTCAAGCACCTAAGCGCCTCTGTCCAAATCTTTTTGGAATTATTTGTAGTAACTCGGAGATCAAGTGATGCAGCCCTTCACACCCTCTGCATGTCTCTTACATTGTTCTTAGCTTGAGGACAGTATGCTCTTTAGATGATAGTGAGTGTGATCTTGTCTCACATCTGAGCCATTAGACAACACTGCTGATTTTTGTGCTTTCTTTTTCACCTTATCCGAGTCAGTCTTTGGGCTCCTGACTTCTGGTTTATTTTGCCATTACCACGTCTAATGGTTTCAGTCTCTGCTTTGTTTTAATTGTTTTCCTGATCTGGGCGTCCTGAGAAGCTGCTTAAAGGTCTGCCGTGATCGTTTTGGCCTGCTCTTGTGATACTAACACGTAGCAATTCCTACCACTCTCTCTTCTTTCTGGTGGTTTGACACCATTACATTCTCATTGGTATGGTCTTAGCTGAGCTAGCTGGAATTGCATTTGGTGCTTGGAAGTCTCATTTTTCTCCTGTACAAAATCTGGAGGAAGAACCTTCCTCTAAGACAGTACGTCATGTATCATATTGAAGATTTAAAAAAAAAAAAAAAGTGAAGAGGTGTGCAGAGGAGTTTCTTGAAGACAGGGTATGGAAAAAGCTGTAGGTGAAGTTACTCTTAAAATTTAAGTGTAAAATGTCAAAACTATATCTTGACTATAGAGGAGAATGTTTCTGTATAGAAGTAAGTGGAAATGTGGGAAAGTAATGGAGGATTAAAACATCCTGTTTTGTGATAATGAGGAAGCCCGTGCAACATAGGTATCGCAGTCTCTTCCTGTGGTGTGGGTATTTCATAATACTGTTGTGTTGAAGTTGCTCGTTTAACCACAGTAGGTGTTTGGATGTGGCTCTATAATATAGAGATATTTCTGAGATTAAGGACCCTGAAAAAGCAGAACTTTTCTTCAGTGTGGAATCATACCCCTTCTCTTCTGTGTTCCTATAGTGAATGTCTGTGGTGTCTGCAGACTGCTTGCTGCCAGAGCCCAATACTCTCTGACCAGGTTCTTGTAGATCTTCCATGCATGGAGGGGATAGTATTTAGTATCAGATTTACTTACCTGAAGATAGTTGATGTTATACGGAATTTCTGATTTAGGAGAGAGATACAAAATATACTGAAAACAATACAAATGTAAGTTGCATTTAGCAAAATACAGCAATTGCAATATGCAGTTCGGTCACAATACTGATGGGATTCCCATTACCGGTCTCTATAATACGCTCACTGTCACGATGCCGGTATCCCCAGCTGCTGGTAAGGAATAACGGGGTTGAAACCATCTCAAGCCCATTGCTCTCTTCAAAATTCTTTTGCTAGTTGTTTACTTTTTATACTCTTATGTTGAGCTTAGCATCATATTCACTCCCCCCATGCTGGCCTGGCTAACTCAGGGAGACATTTGCACCAGCGTTTGATCCACTCAACAATTTTTAACTTCACCCAACTGTTGTTTAGCTTTTTACCCAAAACAAAGAGTGCCCATTGGTCCTTTTTGTGTTGAACTAAAGTGAGCTCCTTTGCGTTACTACCTGAGCTCCTTGGGCTCATAACAGTTCCCTGTCTCCATGGAATGTTACATCCATCGTCGGACTTCATTCGGTCATATTGCACAGCTGCAGACTTGAGTATTAGCGGCAATAACGTTTTCAGGAAACTTGACAGTTATCATTGCACTTACTAATGGGACAAATGTAGCGTATGGGTGTGTTGTCCCAAAATAAGGGTTCTTTTACCCAGTGTGCAAGAGCAAATCAACACACTGAGTCAAGATGTTTGTATGTATTTTGATTCCACGGAAGCGGGTGCTAGACATCTAACAGCCAGCACACCTCTCAGAAAAACAAAGCGTCTCTTATACAGAACAGTAACAAAGAAGAAGTTACAGTAAAGCAGTTGATTGGTCACTCATACTTTTCTTCACCATCCATGATTGCATATGTTCGTGTTTTAAACAGTTGGGGAGGTTCTTTTCATTACCATACTCATTAGTGATAAAGGGGTGTATTTTTTAACATTAAAAACATCTAAGGTAAATTCGGGACATGAATTTTGTTTAGGGTCCAGTCGAAGCTTATGCAACAAACCACAGATCACTATATACAATATACACTTGACAGGCCTATGAATATACTGTTGTCCTTAACCAGGATGCATATCTGCTGGTAGGGGGAGTTTCCATCTCTGTCTCCAAGGATACCTAATCTTGGTGATCATTATTTGATCCTATCTGCAACAGGTGTGAGCTGCTCACTTCAGGTGTTAGTTGGATGACAGATTATTTGGGAAGAGAAGTTGCTAAAGATATTACCCAGTCAGAAAAGAGGCTTGTAGAGCGGGGAGTGCTTTTGGAACAGCTGTCATAGTTACGTAGTTTTCTATTTGGGAAATTAAAAAACAGTCCTAGGGGAACATTAGAACTAAAAGAGGAAAACTGATGTTAAGTAACTGCATTTGGCTTAGGGTTATTGTATTGAGTAGCTAGACTAATGGGAAAAAGATATTTTGATATCCAGAAACTTCCTGAATTGTGTATTAATACTGCTTCCTGATTCCCCAAGCAAAGTAAAATAATAATAAAATCCCACCAGAGAGAACGACATCTTTTAGAAGATAACGGTGGCTCTGTCTGCCTTTCAGCTTCATAATGTAGAAGGAAAGATCAGTTCTTTGTAAAACAAATCATTAAGGCCTTTCGTGTAAGGAGATCCTGTGCTCTTTCCTGTATCATGGCTGCGTATTCAGTAACTCCTTTTGGCTCTGCTAAAAACTCAAGATATGTATTTGTTCAAAACGAGGCCTGTTCTGAAGAAAGATGCACGTGTTTGATTCCAGTGGGCCATGATGTTATTTCTGAAAATATTGCCTATCTGAGACCTGAGACTGGGAGAAGGCAGTGGTGATACTTTTACATTTGTGGTCCCAAAGTAGGTAGTTATGTGCTAGTTTGTTGGTGATCTACTAAATGCTGCCCTGTGAACAATAAGCAGACTTTCCCTTTTGTTACTTGCACTTACATAGCAGAAAAAATAATTAACTTTGGCTTAATTTTATTTGGTATTTTTTCCAGCTAAGAGGAGTTCCTCATATTATTACTGAAGGCTTGGACTATATGACATTACTTCAGTAAGCATATTTCACTCCAGGAAAAGTGATGAGCTTTATTTCATTAGTTTACTTATTCCTAACTTTAGACCTATGATTGGTTGTGATTGATTGAGTACGATAGATTCTGAGATTTTTCTAGCGTGTATTATACAAGGTCTTATAATAGGTTTCTCTTGTGAAGATTTTTGCTGTCAAATTTTTTTTTGTGATGACTGGAAAAATTATTTGTTTTTCACTTGGAATTCACACCAGTGAAACTACTTTATTTGTTTTTTGAAGTATCATTGTAGTAACAAAATGAAACTTAAACAATCCACACTTGTTCATGCTTCTAACAGATTTTTGCATTAAATAAGTCAGCAATTAACCTACGCTTTTTTTTTCCTTCCCTTCCCTCCTCTCCCTCAAGAGAAAATGCCAAATAAGAAGACTGCTGGAAAAAGAGCCCCTGCAAAACGGAAACTTGCTGAAGTGTTTGCTCTGGGGGAGGTTCTAGCAGATACATCAAGAAAAGAATGGAAATTAGGTGTCCCTATAGGACAAGGAGGCTTTGGACGCCTGTACCTTGGTAAGTGTAATTATCTTTGATAATGCTTTAAAATGGACAGCGAGATGTTTATCCGTATTCAAAGCAATTAAAAACTGACACCGAGGTAGAAACGCAGAGTATCTTCAAGTGATCTTTTTTTACTAGAACCTTATTTTGGTTCATGGTGTTGAAAAAAAATGGCAAGTGGGCAAATGATTGTTGTAGGAACTGTGGTTGTATGTGATTCCAGTGGTAGTTCATTCATATTTTTTAAACCAAAATATTTTTTACTTCTTAACAGTGAAAGGATAGTTTAGTATTTGTGTAAATTTGATTTTTGGTCTGGCTGAAAGAAGGGATTTTTGCATGAGTGTCCTTACATCACAAATTCTGCACTGAAACTGTCTAAGCTTATTCTATGGAGGGTACTGATCAGCCAGTATTTTGGCTGGTTCTGACTTTTTCATTGTCTTGTGAACTTCTGACATAAGTTGTATAATTTTTTATGTAACCAATGCTTGGAACAAATTGAACTCTTGGACCTTACAACTTAAAGCATTAGCACAGATCTTGTTTTACAATATTGTTTATTGAATTCAAGGAAAACTTTTAGTGGATAGTGTTCATACTTAGTATCTCTGTTGTTTGAGCAGATGAACACATAAGAGAGTTCTTGAGAATACTCAAGGAATTAAAAAAAAAAATTGGTTGCCCCTAGTCATGTTGCAAACAATTTTGAAGGGATGAAAGTTAATGTGACCGTGATAATAAGGTTTTCTTTTGCTATGCATTTATGGTCTTCCTCCTCTTGGTGAAAAAGTTGCACTCAATTCATACTGAGTTGGAAAAAAAAAAGTAATTTGTCCTGCTTTCAAAATGAACAGGCTGCTGTATAAGTGGGTTAAGAAGAAAAACAGGACCAGTGGGTGGCTTCTTGCCAAAGAAGCTCGCTACTACTTACTCAGCCTTGCTCAATGTGCTACTAAATTTACTGAGACTGGAGTTCCAGCTCACTCAAAGTGTGTAGTTCTTTATGTTAAGAATTACTGCTTTGTTCAAAGCAAAGCTTGTCATTTGTTTGTCTATGCTGCACAGTAAACAAGTTTTGTGACAATTGCCTCTCCTACTACTAATAAGCGCTTCTTTCTTAACAGCTGATGTTAGTTCTTCAAAGTCGGTTGGCAGTGATGCACCTTATGTGGCGAAAGTGGTAAGAGAACATTTGAATCTTTACTTCACAACTTGAAAATGTTTGTTCTGGAATAGCATGTGTAACTTAAACCATCTTCTGACTGAAAATAATACAATTGCATAGTGCTCTTTAGGATAAAAGTATGGTGATATATGGGAGCGCTGTTGAGAAATGGGACTCTTGTGTATGAGGGTGGATAATGGAACATCAGCAGAGTTGAAAAAGGTTCATGAAATGCATCAGATTCTGTTTCATTTGCTGCTTCCTGTAAACAGCCCAAATATCACAAAATGAATGAAATCTGGCTAGCTTTTGGAGAATTTCTGTGTTTCAGCAGTGAGTCTGTGTGAACTGTTGCTCACCACTGGATGTTGGTAAGCTGACATATGGCTTGGGAGTAGAAACAGCAAAACTTTGATTCCCAAGGTCTCCACAGATATAAAGTCCTTTAAATGTTTTATCATAAAACACATACATATTCTAATTTCTATGGAATTAAAATGGTATTGACACATTTTTTTTAACCTAATGATTAGAGAGAAGAAAAAACATTGTTAGCCTATTGTAGCAAATCAGCAAATTCTTTTTATTAGTTGACATTTTCTTATGTTTTCAATCTTAAAATAAAAAAGATTTATGTAAGTTGATTTGGCTATAATATTCTTTTCCTCAGGTACAAAGTATTTTTTTCTTAAATTTTGCTAGGTTATTTTGTATGGATGCTACTGTTATATATGGTTCCCTGGTAAAGTCTTAGTAAAAAAAACTGGGAATACGGGAATTGCCACAGTAGATCCAGACCATTCGTTTTCTTGGTGTACTTCTGGTCCTGTGACAAAAGTAAATACTGGAAACTGTACAAGAACTTCACAATGTAAAAAAAAATAGTTCTTCAATACAGTTCAGAACTGCAATGTTTTAATCACTTACTAAACTATGTGGTGATACTGAAATGCTTTACCGCAATAGCTGGCCACTGATGTAAATATGCTAATACTTTTAACATTTGTTCCTGAAACTAAAAGATCATGTTAAGTTAGAATAAATACGTTGTAGTTAGTATGTGCCTTTAATCCTGGTATTTATATCTGCTGACTACAGGGAAATCTAGAGAATCGGGTTTGATACTGTTCAGATACCCCAAGATACTCTTGGTGATGACCCTCTTTCCGAAATGGTGTCACTTGCTGAAAAAAAGCACTGCTTAGTATGCAAATATCAAACTGCCACACTTTCAGCATCAGCAGACTGGTACCGCCTTAGGTGTTTGTGGGCAGAAATTCCACACAGACCAGGAGCCTCAGCCTGCAGCTATTGCATGGTGGCAGCCTGCTTCTGTATGTCCAGCCGGTGCCATCAGGGGCAGGGGGTGTGCATTATGCAGGGCACCTGCTGTGGCTTGGTTTAGAGGCCGATGACAGACACTGAAGTTATCTGCAGTGGCTTGCTGTTGAGAGGCAGTGGCTCCTGATTCCCAGCTCCTGATGAGTTTGGACTGATCAGGAAACAGGGAGCCATTTAACTTTCATGGAAGAATCCAGTTTGACTTGCTTGGAATTTTGTCAGATATGCATTATTTTATACTTCTGTAATTGCTGTCCTTCGTTTTCCCTGAGGTTGAAACCTGTCCATCTGCTTCTCTTCTCCTCTACTTTGGGCTCTGAATATAAGAAGAGTTGTCGGAATTTTTGTGTTGCTTTTATGCTACGTTCATTTTGTTGGAGCAATTTGTAAATACCTCCATTGCTAATCTCCCATATGACTACTCGCTTTCAATTTGTCTTTCATAATTTTGTCTTTATGGCAGTAAAGAGTAGCCCCAGTCTTTGTGCTGCCCTCACAAATGACCCATAATGTATTATGCCTCTACAGTCTAGTATAGCACTGCTACAGATAAGGGCCTATTTTCTGATGCCTGGGTGATTCCTAGTTGATCCATCAGCTGAAGCAAAGTGGTTAACAGCTTTGAACAATTATTAGTGTTTAACAAAATATGTGCTTCTATAGTAATGTTCTTCAAATTAAGCTATTAAAGCTGGATGGAAATTGGCTTAGTCTTTGACATATCCTCATAGTATTGATGTCTGAGCAGTATGAAATGAATCACAGTTTTTATTAAAAAAAAGAAATGCTTTTTAACATGTGGACCTTTCAGATGTCATTGTTCAGGAGTGGATGCAGAGTTTAATAACACTTCATTAAACTGCTGACTGAAAAATATCAGAATTCTTAAAATACTACTTGAAGAAATTTGTTGGGTTTTGACACGTACTCCATAATCTCTTTCATTATGTTATCTTTCCTAATTAGACTTTAATTTCAGTTTTGCAAATCATGTGTTTAGAATGACCCTGGGCATAAAGTTGTAGAAATTTGTGTTTGAAGTATTTCTGGTTTTGGCATATTACAAGGTGATTAGTATGGCAAATATTGGACATCATTACATGAGCCTTTTTAACATAGCGTATGCATTTTTTTATCTGTATGTGGAATTAATGGTATTGCGGGGAAACAGCTTCGTAGTCAACATGATGATCTGTTTTGTGGTTAAATCATTTATCCATCCCATTAAGTATGAAAAGATACCAGATTTTCAGCATTTCACAGAATCACAGAATCACAGAATAGTAGGGGTTGGAAGGGACCTCTGTGGGTCATCTAGTCCAACCCCCCCGGGATTCCTCCCAGTAGCTCCTTGAAGAGGGCAAAGTCAGCCCTCCTGAGGTCCAGGGTTTTGATCCTGCTTATCGCCCTGCTTCCTCCACGCAGGATCCTGAACTCGACCATTTCATGGTCACTGCAGCCGAGTCTACCTCCAACCTTCACGTCCTCCACCAGTCCCTCCTTGTTTGTTAACACAAGGTCCAGCAGCGCGCCTTTCTTTGTTGGTTCCTCCACCACTTTAAGTATGAAAAGATACCAGATTTTCAGCATTTGCTCTGACTAGAGAAAGATATATCTCTTTTTCAGCACTGAGACATAATTTTTTGTGGAATAATTTATTTAGAGATAAATATTTTAAGATTTTTTTAACACCTACTTTTTTTGCTGTAGTAATTTAGTAAGAAAATAACATTCTTCAAACCTATGTAAATTGAATCAAAATAATATGTATAATTCATATTCTAATTAAGTTAGAGTATTAATGCATTGTGCTACAGAGAAACAAATGAATAGGTCAAGTAACATTTGTCTGAGAACTACAGTAAAAGAATTCAGCTATTTAACCCTTCTTCTCTGGATATATAATTCCTATATCACTAATTTGTTGTCCATAGTGGATAAATAAACTAACTGAAAGTAAATATGCGTGTATTGAAATTTATGTGCATTGATCAGTTGGTCTAGTTGGTTTTGTTTCAGATTCATGGCTTAAGTCCGAACGTTGGTCCCACAAGGAGAGGCCAGAAAACTGTTGTCTTGCCTCCATTGTTTATCAGGGCAATGCTGCCTGAGAAAGTGAGGTGGAGACAGGCAGTAGCTTTGTAATCAAGTGTCCAGGCCTGGGAGTGGTGCTTAAGCTGGTATCTGCTCTCATCCTGACCGGTCTTCCTGCTCTGCTTCTGAGCCAGTACATCAGGAGCACACTAAAGCCCACGTTCATCAGTGTGTTTGATCTCTTTACGTTGCTTTGTTAATGTTGAACAGCAGTAAACCTCTATTAGTGGAGTGGTATGGTCGGGCCTTTAGCAATTTTCTGGATCACTACATCTGCATTTAAAAGTTACAATTAAAACCATTTGAGATTGCTGTTATATATCTTGGAACTTTTGCTAATATCATGTGATTATATTCTCTCTGGGTTTCTTTTCCAGTAATCACATACTTTTTTTTTGGTTCATTTGTTAAAGTGTAGGATATTCCAAAACAGCTATTTTCACTGAGATAGAATCAATTTGGGCATATATGAGTAACTAGACTAAAACAAATTCCTTAAGCTTATCGCAAATTGATCAGTTGGTCTAGTTGGTTTTTTTCAGATGCAAGAGTTGAAATCACTTTCAACTTAACAACGCAGGAGTTGAAATCACTTTTTTTTTTCCCCTGCGCTAAGTTCTGGTTATTTAGAGTCAAGGTACCTACCCATTTGAAATTCTTGCAGTATTTCAAAGCCTTGGTGTTTTTAAACCAATTCTCTTGTACTTTACTTTTAATGTGTGCTTACCGTAGATTTGTCCATAGAAAGTGGAACTGAAATACCTTACGTTCGCTTAAATACAAGGTAGACTCTGAAGTCAAAATAGGTGTAGTTCTTACAATTTAGTTTAAGAGAAATTGTGAAATCCTCTGTAATAATTGTTACCTTGATCAACTAATGTATGAAGGGAACAAAATACCTTATGTTCAGCAAGAATTTAACTTTTGTTATGATTTTTCTATCAAATCATTCAGGTGTTACTTTAGGCTCACTAATAGCTACTGCAGCAGATACAATCCAGCTTTAATCTGGAAAATCTGAAGTAATGAATGTTGTTTAATGTTCTCTGCTAAACTTTTGCTGCCAGTTATTGGTAATATTTCTATACATTTCAGATAATTTGTTATTCTTTTTGTTCTGGGAAAGGATTCTTTGATACCCTTAATGTTAAGCAATTTATAATAAAAATCACTTTTTAGAGGCAACCTTCTTTTATAAAACAAAGATATTCTATTGAATTTATCAGCACTGGGTAGAGCATGTGAGGGATAATATGTTTTTATAGGGTGAATGTTGTGTTTTGTGAGCTTTAAGTACTTATTAGGCACTAACACGGCAGTTCTTAACTAATTTTAAATTGTCTTAAAGGAACCCAGCCAGAATGGACCTCTTTTTACTGAGTTAAAGTTCTACATGCGAGCTGCTAAGCCAGATGAAAGTAAGCAGTGTCTATTAAAATGTTTTTAATGAACTACAACCATTTAGCAAAGTAGAGCCTACAGGACTAAGGTCAAACTTTAAGAGAATCTTGTTAGGTCTTTTTCAAATTTGTTTTTGAATGATTGAGATCTAATTCAGACATATATTAAAATTAGAGGTTTTTGGTAAGATGTTCTTTACACTTGTGTTGTCTGGTATTGTCTGAATTGAAACTTAAGTTGTATCTCTGTCGCTGCAACGGAGGCATCATTAACTTTGCAGTATACTTAGCATACAAGTTTCCATGAAATAAGCAGCTCACATGTATGCAGAAACTGTGACGCGAGTAGTCCCTTTTTGTATGTCTCTGCTGATGTGAATTCCTGAATTTATCTTTATTTACATTTTCAGTTCAGAAGTGGACTAAGTCCCATAAACTGAAATATTTAGGTGTACCAAGATACTGGGGTTCTGGCTTGCATGAAAAGAATGGAAACAGGTGAATATATCTTTTCTTGGCATATATTGGGATTTATTTCATAGATGACCACTATCCCTTTTAACCTAATTTACTTTATAAGATGTATTTTCCACCTGGGCTCATGTTGTTCGTTTCTGCTACAAAGTTTCATGTTCATAACAGGGTGTGTTTAAGTAATAGATACATTTTATCTCTACTGTTACTGGTATTTGTGTCTATTATATTCTTTGTGACTTAGTTTTCATTTGTCTCGAACATTGCTGTAATACAGTGATGCTATATGTGTGTGGTTTAGAACTTTTCATATTTGAAATAAAATAAAGTCAACTTTTAATGTAAAAGTCCTTGAATAATATGACTACCTTTGAAGTTTTTCTTCTGTTATAATGTGCACTTAAAGGGTATTTTCACTCGTATATATAAAGGACGTGGTGCTGTCTCTAAATCTGTTTTATTTTCCCTAGGTGTAGGTTTGTTGACTCAGTCTGTGAGCTATAATAATTGTTAGTCTCATGTTAAATTTGTCTTAAGTCTAGGGATGGTTTTTAGTATTGTTCCATGTCATGAAGGGTTTTTGTTATGTTATGTGGTCTTGAGTAGTATGCCTGTTTATGTAACAGTCCTTGTTTCCTAGTGGGCTTTCTCTAAACAGCTGTGTTGTAAAGGAGTTTTAATAGTTCTCTGGCAGTTTATAGTAGGTCAGGCTTCTTTGTGTGGATGACTGGGTAGGGCAGTTGGTACGCACGTCAAAAATATCTTTGTTTCAGTAGATCCTCAACTTTAAAACTAATGTAAAAAGAACATTAATTTTGAGAGGCAAAAATAAATATAACAAAATGGTATTTTTTTCCTCAAATAAACTTTTCTTTGCATTTGGTGTTTAACACATGACTTTCTTTAACGTAGCTGCTATGAGCTCTTACAGTAATAGAACTTTTAGAGACTTTTCTTTATAATAATAGGTTCAAAAATAAATTTCAAGAAACAAACTTTAACCATGTTCATTCACTTTGTCATTTATAAAGCAAAAAATGTATTTCTGTAAGTAAATGATGCTTGGTTTTACCTATAGTGAATTACAATACAGATATTATTCTCTGTGGATACTTGTTACTGTACTGCATAACTAGCCAGGAAAAAAAGAACAGTTCTTTTAATGGACGAGCTTTTGACTAGCTGATGTAAAGAAGTTAAGAGTTGATGCACAATGTTAAAAAACAAGTCAAGTATTTCCCACATTTATTTTCTGTGTACCTGCAGTTTATCTTTTGAGATAAATATTTCCAATCAGTGATTTGTACAATTAACACATAGATAAAACACTTTACTAAGTACAATTCAGTAACTTTGCTGTTTTGGGGTTTTGTTTTTTTTCCCCTCGAATTTAGTTATCGATTTATGATAATGGACCGATTTGGCAGAGATCTTCAGAAGATGTATGAAGAGAATGCAAAGCAAATTCCCCGTAAAACTGTACTACAATTAGGCCTGAGAATAGTAAGTGTAAAAAATATAGTATATTTTTACAATCTGGCTTCCCCATGTAAGTCTTTCTGTTAAATCACACTTTTGTGCTGAGTACAGGTCCTCTGCTGGGTGGAGCTGGGTACTGCATTAACGTGACTGTTTGTTTTGTTAGCTTGATATTCTGGAATACGTCCATGAGCATGAATATGTGCATGGAGACATCAAGGCCGCAAACCTTCTTCTGAGTTACAAGAACCCTAATCAGGTATTTCTGATGCATTTTATTCCTCATGTTTTAAACCTTCTATTTGACAACACATGGAAGTGCTTTGAACCTGTGAAATCTAGCAGAAGCTCATTTTTAAGAATGTGTGTGATAACATTATTTCTGCTTGACATTTATACCTAGTTAATATTCTACAATTTCTTTTTATGCATTTTGCTGTAGAGTTATCAAATTGACTATTTGGCCTAAATAATATTCTGGAGAAATTCTAAAGATTAAAAAAAATTGACTCACAAATAGGTATTTGCAGGTGGAAGCTTAAAATTATATAGCACACTGGTAAATTATGTTTGCCTGTCTGCATTGTTACCTCATTCCTTTGTTAAAGAAATCCATCAGATAAGTGTTCTGTTACTTGGAAAAATTGGTCTTTCAAGTGTTGGTTGTTCCACTTGATTTATGGAAGTCTTTCGTTTTTCTGTGTTTTTTTACTATTCAAACAATGCATATTAAAGCTTCAGAATTATGTATGTCTTCCTGCTCAAATTTCTTAGCTCATGAAATAAGTAAATAATCTCTCTTCTCTTAAAGTAACTGTAGTGTTAGTGAGCATTAATAGTGTGTAGCAGTGTTCAAATGGGACAGCTGACTATAAAGAGGGTAGGACAGTAAGTGTATTTGTAACTCTATGAACATTACTTTTTTTTTATTTAGTCTTACTGATAATAACTGACGCTATTACTGTACTCATCCTCTGCATCAGCAAGAAGTGACTTCCAGATCAGACTGCTGTATGGAAAACAACAAAAACTATCTAACATGTTGTTTTCAGATCATATGTAGTAAGCTCAATAAAGCATTGAGGATTGCTTAAAGTTGAAAAACCATTTTTAATACTTTTTATGAAGCGATGAGAATGGTTGAGTGTAACACTTATTATTTGCATATTTTCTGTATTTCTAGTTCTTTAATCTTAGAATTCTGTGTGGAAATTACTAGGTGTACTTGGTGGATTATGGACTTGCCTACCGATACTGTCCTGAAGGAGTTCACAAAGCATATAAAGAAGATCCTAAAAGGTGTCATGATGGAACTATTGAATATACCAGTATTGATGCACACAAGGGTGTGGGTAAGGATGTAAAACTTTGTTCTCAGCAATAGGCATTTGTGCATCCATTTCATACAAATACAGAAGACTTTATTTGCTGCACTGAGTTTTGTAAACAACCAGCTTTCTAAATCTATAAAAATATTTTTTTCTTCTCTTAAGGACCATGCTGGCATTTTTCTTTTTTTCCATTTACTAACTTTTGCTTTGATATTAATTCACTGTAGGTAATGTAGTTTTCTTAAATAAAGTTCCTTAATTTTATAAAGACTGTTAAGATATTTAGTGTGTTGCTCTTTATTAATGAAGTAGAAATGGAATAGTACTTATCAGATCTTGATAGAAAAATGGGCCTTGTTTTCAGGAGTTTTTGTTACCAGTGTGAACATTTTTCCTTCATGTTTGGCAGCAATGCAAAACATTCTTTATCTTATTTATGGCTTAATATTTAGCAGTTTTTTAAACAAAACTTCATTTAATCATGAAATATTATTTCTTAATTATGCCTATAGTCACTGAACATCAAAAAGCAAGAAGTGAGAAAAGGTTGAACGTGAAAAGGACAGGTCTATGATTAAACATTGAGGATTTATAGTGAACACTAATTTTATTTTCTTCGTTCTTAAATTTTGTTCTATTAGAATAGAAGGGTGTCTTGCAAAAATAGCAGTTATTGATAGTTGTTATTTACTTGAGGTTGAACTGTTGCACCTATGCTTAAAACTGAACATGAACAAAGATGACTTGCCGTTTTCTAGTGTAGTCTGTGGTAAACGTACATGTGGGTTGGTTTTTTATTTTTTATTTTTTTTTCCTTTTTCTTTCGCAAGGCTTAGTGATCTGATCTATTATTCTCGTCTGTTCAGCTTTCAGGCCACATAAAATATTTCAGCTTTGTGGAATACTTTTTTCAGGAGATGGGGTTTCAGCACTATTACCTTTTTATAGAAGAAGGGAAGTAAAAACTGTTTTGAACAGAAAGTCAATCACTTCACTAACTTTCTCTATTTTTTTCCTACAATCTGAGTACTTAAAAAGCATCCCAAGTTGGGATAACTGCAGCATGTCATGTCCTTGAGTAGAAGAAAGATTGAAAAGGGACTTGAAAATGAAGTTATCCTTCCAGAAGTAGGAACAATATTTTTTCCTTTCTTGCTTTCACACTGAAATAAAGAAATAAATAACAGATACAGTAATGTTGCATTTTTAGAATTGGCTTTCTATTGCCATAAGATATTTACAACTGTGTGTGCTTTATTAGCTGCTCTTATGGTTCTGGTTTTTATGTGTGCTTGTTTATTTAGCACCATCGAGACGTGGTGATCTGGAGATCTTGGGTTACTGTATGGTTCATTGGCTTAGTGGCCATCTGCCATGGGAGGATAATTTGAAAGACCCAGATTTTGTCAGAGACTCAAAAATCAGGTGAGAAACTACTTGTTTTCTTTCTCTTTAGAAACTGAAAATAGGAATGAAAATGTCTTCATGTAGAAATGCTTTGTACTTTCAGTATGTTCCCTTTTGAATAGGCTATTGTTTTGTATACTCCCCAGCTTCCCTTCATTGCGTCTCATGTATCCTTGGCTTGCTTAATCAAACTTCACTTGTACTGTTCTACTGTCCTCTTTTGCATGTGAGGGATGCTTATTTATCCACCACAGTACTGTCGCTTTAGAGTACCGCCACAGTTAAGCCAAAAAGCACTCTTACCAGTATACAGGTAATCATTAGTCGTGCTTTACAGAAAGAGAAGCATGGAGTATGCGTAGACGTTCTAACACCATGCTCTGAAGTCAGTGGCAGAGATGGGAGCTAAAGGTGGATATTAAACTTCTTTGAGCATCATTCCAGCTAGAGGATTACTAATGTGCGATTTTTTTGGCCTTCATCAATCTTAGCGAAGCCCGCTCTCCCTCCCCCCAGTTATTGTTTTGGCAGGGAGTCTGCTCTGAATAATATCAGCTAGAGAAAGAGCCCTGTAGCAGGAAGAAGTGAGAGCATTGGTGTGTGAGGATTTAAAATGGACCAGTTCTTTTCCTTAGGTCTTCTACTTGCTTGCTTTTACAAGAATAAAAACCTGTTGAACAAAAACTTAACCATATTTCAGATAGCCTGCCTGGCATTCGTCAGGTTCTTAAACGTACTGCACTCCTGAAAATGGCTGTACAAAGCCATACCAAGGGTTTATCTAGTAGTGTCTCCTGTCTCTGACAGTGGTCCAAGCTAGGTACTTAGGAAGTTTATCAGAACAGGGCAAGATTCAAACTGTGAAAGAAACAGTAAATTTGAATAATTTTGTTTTTCAGGTGTAGAGATAATATTTCAGTTTTGATGGACAAATGCTTTCCTGGGAAAAATAAACCAGGTAAGAGGAGCTATTTTAAGTTAAGATGCTTTGATTTGTACCATGTGGTAAGCATTTTCTAGTATTTTGTTTTAATGTCCTTTTTCTTTAAAAAAAAAAAAAAATCCATCAATCTGTTTGGGTGCCATCACCAAGCTGTAGAGAACTTTAGACAGTGGGTAGAAGCTCTGAAATCTGTATATGCGTGGCTCATGTGGAGTGCGTACAAGGGAAGGCGATGTTACTTTGTATTCAAATAAAAGCAGATAAATTCAGTTGCAGCAAAAGGTGAGGAGTTGTCAGATTTTCAGCATCTTTTCTCCGGAGAGGTGTGTCTCAGGCACTGTACTTTAAACTGTTGCTTCTTTAAGACCTCCTTGTTTACTGAATCGTAGAATCATAGAAAGTTTTGGGTTGGAAGGGACCCCTAGAGGTCATCTAGTCCAACCCCCCCGCAGCGAGCAGGGACACCACTAACTAGATCAGGTTGCTCAGAGCCCTGTCCAACCTGGTCTTGAATGTTTCCAGGGATGGGGCCTCCACTACCTCTCTGGGCAACCCATTCCAGTGTTTCACAACCCTCATTGTAAAGAATTTCTTCCTTATATCTAGCCTAAACCTACCCTGTTTTAGTTTAAAACCATTACACCTCGTCCTGTCGCTAAAGTCGTCACTGGAGTTTGCCTATTTTTCTTCTTACTTTTATCAGCAAAAGTGAAGTGGCATCAATTAGATTGTTGATTAGGAGAAGTTTAGACTCTCCCTTTTGGCTGCAGTTATGAACTGCGGACATTGTTGCTTCTGATAAAAGACAGTACTAAGTATTTGCAAATGTGAAATGTGTAAGTTGGTTTCTCACAATTGAAGCTTAGAAATTCAAAATATAAAGGTACGCAAACTTGGAAGTCTAGATTGTTTCTGTTTGGCACTGGTGATTTGCTGAGTAGTTTTTTAAATTTTTATTTGTTTTTTATTTATTATAAATACAGCTTCTTGTGATTTTAAACTTAAATATTTAGCTACTTCTGTCTACTCGTGACTGGAAGAGAGTTTTCTCTGTCAAGTGTGACTTGTCTGGTTTTACAGTGGTCAGGTGTTTCATGTATCTTTTAATATGTTTCAGTCTTGAACTGAGGAGGTTCTGCGATAACACTGAGTTTTCCATATTTTTAAATATAGACATAAGAAATAACACATAATCATTCATTGGTGAAGACTGGCCTATTATATTTTTTTACCACTGACTGTTTTCTTCATTGCAAAGAATGTGTAAAAAAACAGTGATGCTGTCATCACTAGGTAATGAACATTGGTATAATAGTTTTTCTAAGTGTTGTAGTAAAGTCATAATTATGGGCTTAGAAATAACCATTTAAAAAATGGCATAAATAATGCATGCATAAGTTCTGGTCCTTTTGTGGTAAAAGTGAATGATTAAAATGTTTTCAAATAGAAATTAATTGAAGGTACCATTTCTTTAGATGAAATAGCCAAATTTATGGAAAAAGTGAAGCTACTGAGCTATGAAGAGAAACCTGTTTATCAGCATTTCCGAGAAGTACTTCTGCAAGGTCTTAAGGCCATTGGGCAAAAAGATGATGGAGTACTTGACTTTGGCTTGTCAGAGAATGGAGACTTGCAGACACATCCTATGCAAAAGGTTTTTATTCTGAAATTTATGCCAGCTTTTAATGCATTTTTTTTTTTTTTAGCTAAATAAGAGTTAAAGTGGTTTTGGAAGTAGTCATAACTGCATCCAGTAGGAAACAACCAAATAGTGAAACGTTTAAGTCATACTCTTAGGCATTATTTCTCTAATTAAACTTCACTAATTGTTATTAAAACTTAATACAGAATGTTTATACATGTACTTTCGTAATAGGTAATATATTGCATAACAGAATGTGTATATATGGTTGTAATGACATTTGAACAGATGAATGTTCAGTTAATTTACTTCTTTTCCTTTAATTGGTAAAACCCCAGCTGCGTTAAAATACATGTAAGATAAAGGAAGTCTAATTTTTGTTCCAGGTTAGTTTCCTTTGCATGACTAGTTCAAAGCTTAGTCTTTATTTGGTTTTGGGATTCACATGTTGAATTCACTATCATCTAATATGTTATTTATGAGTCTCAACTGTAGTGGTAGGCTAGGGGGATTTTAATCTTTGTATTTAAGAAGCCTTAAACTCTAGCTTTAGACTCCCATTTGAATACAGTGTAAGAACTTTTTAAGACTTAGGGAAATCACACGTTAAAACAGTTTATAATAACAATAAAAAATGGGCATAGAATTATTTAGGTTAGAAAAGACCTTTAAGATCGTCACGTCCAACCGTATGGAACCATAAATATTATCCTGTACTTCAGATTGCATTTATTGCCCATTTATTTGCATTTGTTAATAACAAGTGCGCAGTTTACTGGTTCCTTTAGCATGAACCAGGGAACTGCGAATTGTAATGCAGCATAATAGTACAAGAATTCTGCCTGCTTACTGACATGATCAGCAAAATAAAAAAAGCTGTAGGATATCAAAGTCTTTTGAGGATATACGTCCAACTTACTTCTTTTTGCCCCGTAAGTAGTACTTTGGCTAAAATCATACAGCCGTAGTCTTTATACTAGTATAACTGAGTGTAAAGATCTGTCCAAAAGGAGAGTTCATTAGCATAAATTCTTTTGTTCCCCCTGTGGATCAACATGGCTTGAGACCTGTGTTTTTTTGGGGGGGTGGAATCTTTTTTTAATGGTTGGCTGGTTTCTTTGCTAAGTAAGTTGGCCTGCTGCACAGCCAACATCTGTGACCTTTTATGTCCTTGTCCAGCAGAGATGGCTGATGCACGTTTCCAATGGAATAAAACTTCAAAAATCTTATTTTTTTAGCCAATATCAGTCAAGACCATTCCCAAAGGGTGAGATAATACTTTTCCATAGGTTCTTACCTACCAGCATCAATTAGGAGTTAATTTTTACATTGGGTTTCTTTTTTTTCCCTTTCAGAGATCATATGCGTAGTCAGCATATGTTCAAGCACTATATAAAACAATCAGTGTTACTGGCCCATTTGCGCATCATATTGCAGTGGACTTTGTGCTAGCTGCTTCATGCCAGCTGCTGCTAGGGTGCCCAGACAGAATAAGACTGTTTTCTTGAAATCAGGTTGACATAGCCTGCTTGCTTTTGATCAGATACCGGGGCAGATGACTCTTCCTTCTATGGTGGATTTTTCTAGGCCTTGTAACATCTGTGGTGTAGGCTAGGGTAGAAGAATAAATTGTTTCAGTCCTCCTTCCTAGGGTGTATTTTTCATTTTTCTTGAAGAATGAACTCATGGTGCTGGGTTTTTCTTCCAGGGGGTTTCAGGCGTTGAGAGGCTGGGTGACCAGGAGGACAATTTCTGCTAGTTGAGAATAGCTGGACATTTAGATACACGGAGGAAGAAAGGAAGACCATAGAATGCTAATGAAAATTATATGTATTTCCAGCTGTGACAGGAAGCTGAACTTGATGACTGTTTTAAAGATAAGCTCCAAACTCTGTTAGATTTTCCATAAAGACAATGTACCATTGATCTGTAGCATCTTTAGCATCTTGCCTCTGAGAGCCAGTATCTTCTAGCACGTACTAAATTTCTTTCAGCATGCTTAATGTCTAATTTGGAGAAGAAAAATACAGTGTGGCATCCACCCTTGAGAAGGTGGTGGTGTCTAATACAGAGTATTTATGGTATTTTGCTTGTACTGATCTTTGAATCATGACAGGTCTTAAGACACCTACTCTTCAATTCCTTTGGGGCAATCTACCATAATACTTTCTTAAAACCATGTTATTTGGTGTTCTGAAGTTATGCTATTTCACAGCTAGGAAACAATATTTCTAGCTTCTGTGTAAATAAATTCTTAGAATGTAGGATTCTGCTGTGTTTTCAACTTGTACAGCTAACTGAGCCATGATGTGCATTGTATGTTGCATATAAGCATGGCTGTTTTGGAATCTCAGTCATTCTCCAGTATTGGTATCTGGCTAAAACTCAGAGATGTCCGCTGTATTAAAAGTTAATGTTTTATTTTCTATATCATGACTCAACTTTCCCCAGATGTATAAGTAAATGAAAGACAGTCCATAGTTCTGCTGGAGTTGTTGGCTTGATTTTTTTTTCCTGTGTAGTAAATGCATGTTAGTTTGTGTGTGGTATTTTATAATAGTTCTAGCAAAACATGAAGGTTTTACTAGAAGTGTATTGAAGGAAGTATCTGGAGCTCCTGACTAAATTATTTAGGGCAAAGACCACGTCTTACTTTTGTTCAGTGCTGAAGAGTTGCTGGGAAATACCGGGAGTAAACTAAGCTGGAAGAATATGGATCTTAGTGATTTGTTGTTCCTTCTAGTGTTCAGCTTCAGATGTGCAGGTGTTGCTTTTGTCAGATGAATGCTGCCTGATTTCTACTACTATGTAATTCACCTGAATCAAGATTAAGAAACCACTTTTTATAAATAAACTTGGAAACAAGATAAATGTATTTTGCTTTTGTGTCGCATGTATTGGAGATCTGTTTTTCTGATGAACGTTTAAAATGTTTTCTAGTACAATTGGGAGGAATGCATTATCTCATATAAAAGCAGTACAGCACTGAAATAGTCCTCTTTAATTTTGGTCAGAATGAACAAAAGTGTCTGTGTTTATTCCTGCCTAATGCATCACAAATCTGCTGACATGCTAACCTTGGAGTCTTGGCTGGCAGTAATCAGGCCTGTGCACCGGCAGGAAAGATGTACCTAATGCACTCCATCAGTGCAGTTTGCATATGGAAGTTCTCACAGGGGAGCTGCCCTGTGCCAGCTGAGGGTTACCTGCCCACTGCAGTTATTGTATGTAATTATCGAACCAATCTGTTCAGCCCAGCAGGGTTTAGATGGTAATCATGAAGCAACACTTTGGAAAGGAAAGATATAATGCACTCTCCCCTTCTCTCAGGAGCTATGTGAAGTTGTAGCCACTTTTAAAGCTATATTAGTAGAGCTCTAGTCTCACACAATTAAAAAAAAATTAAAAGGAAAAGGTAAACTCTGCCAGTGTTCATCAAAGTTATTATCTGTGTCTGATACAGATACAGGTCAACTCATCCTTTGCAAAAATCACATGGCTTTAGAAAAAAAATCTTTCCATAACCACCTTAAGAATACTTTGCAGTAGTAAGTTTAACTGTAATACACAGATAATAACGGTTCTATCCATTTAGAGGCTTTAAGATAATGTACTTTGAATAGAGTTCAGGTTTCCCAAGTACTTCTCCTTGGAGCAGAACCCATAGTTGCTATTAGAAAAAAATAATAATGTACTGTCAGTGGGTGTTAGATACTTTTAAGCTGTGCAAAGAAAGCCTTAAGAAGCAAGGATCCAGATAAACTTGAATTTAATGAGGTGTAATTGCTTTTAAAAAAGCAATTAACATCAGCTTTGGGTAAAATGTTTTTCTGTGTTCTTCAGGATTTTTCAGATTGCTCCTTTTGTAACAGTTATTCAGTGTAAACAAAAAAAAAGGTTTTGATCATAAAAACTTGTGTTTTCATACATTAAAATTTCAACTCCTAATGTGATCCATTGCCTAGTACTAGTATTCTTGGATTAATATATGAATAAATTTTCTCTACAACTGGAGACGTTTTATAATATGTGAAGAAATAATGCTTTAAAATTGGGGAATACTTTGTGAGTATAAGATATTTTGTACTTCGTGTGGTGTTTTCTGCTCTGGATTTCAGTTGCCCTGCTGCTTTTTTAGTCTTTTTTTTTTTTTTCTTTTTTCCTTTTTTTTTTCCCCCCAGAAAAAAAGAAAGGCAGCAGCTGCATCCAGTGAGAGGACTGAAGCAGAAATGGAGGATACAGAAAGTCCAGAAAAAAAGAAACGTACTTCTAGTAAGCCAAAATATTGTTCTCAGTCACATGTATTGGTGCGGTAGGTTAACCCTGGCTAAGGGCCAAACTCCAACCCAGCCACTTGTTTCTCTCCTCAGCGGGGCAGAAGGAGAAAACAGGATGAGAATACTCATGGGTCAATACAAAGATGGGGAGATTGCTTACCATTTACTGTTGTGGGCAAAACACTCAGGTTGGGGAAAATTTATTTAATTTATTGCCAATTAAAATAAAATTGGTTAGTGACAAAGACAAACATTAAAACACCACCTTACCTTCCCCTTCTCCCAATCTCAGCTTCTTCACTCTAGACTCCTCTACCCCCTTCCCTGAGCAGTGTAGGGGGGTATGGAGGGGAAGTGTGTTATAGTCAGTACAGAGTGTTTTCTCTCTGCTGCTCCTCCCCCCTCACATTTTTCCCCTGCTCCGATATGGGCTCTCCCTCCTGGGCCACCCCCGTAGCTGACCCCAGCTTAGCAAAACCTGACCGCATGGCCACATATACCCAATACAACTGTTTACCTTTAGGAGTTCAAGTGCTTTTTGTCTTTCATAATTTCCTTTTAGATTAATAAAACTGAAATATTTAAACTTTGTGTAAGAAAGGTATGCTCTCCAGTTATATGCTGCATAAACCTGGTAGAAATGATAGGTGATACAAATTGGTGGTTGCACGCTGTTCTTTTGCCATCATTCACTCTCTCTTCCATTCTTATTTCTGTCCTTCTGTCTTGTCCAATTCACTGTCAGAATATGCTGACTCCTCAGGACTTCTTCATCACAACGTGTTAAAGCCAGGGCCTAGCAGCAGCAGCTTCTAAAATTGAGTGTGTTTAAAGTCAAGGAAAGGATCAGATACAAGGACAGAAAATGCTGAAGCTACATTTGAGATAATTTGGCATAGTTTCAGTGCTGTCTGGAAAAAGTCATGGCCAAATAAAGTAGGATTATTGTAAGTCCTAGATCAAAAATCTTCAGCAGATCTGTATAGGATAAGTTTATGGTGACTGTCCAGTCAAATTGTTTTCTGGATCTAACCTTGTAACTCCTTCATGTATGTGTGAACTGAATTCAAGTAATTACAAAGATATTTCTCCTAAAGAATTTTTGCTTCAGACTTCAAGTAAAAGATCAGATGTTGACCATGGTCAAGTAGTCTAAAAATAATAAAGCAATAGCGCTAGAGTCTACCCCAAAACAAATCCACTTGTTTAAAAAGGTTTGATGAAAGAGTATGGCAGGATGGGAAAATGTAACAGTTCAAAGACAGTAATATTCTTGATAATTTATGGATTTACCCTAGTATATTTACTCGAACAGTATGGTATGAAGTACAAGTAATTAAGCTAATGCTGTTCCAGAAGGTGACACTGCTCTGTTCATATTCCGCTGTTCACATTATAGAATTCTGGTCATTAAAATCAGTGATTATTTCTCTTCTTGAATAACTTTTGAATTGTTGACTTCAATTATGAGTTTTGTAGTCTCTCAGTGGCTGACAAAATCTTAATAAGATTATATTTTTTTGAAGGAAATACAGATATTCAGTAAGTTGTTGATGTTTATTCATAGTTTTAGCAGTTCGGGTTTTATTTAAGGCCTTATAACAAAATATTTAATACAACTGACTATTTTCTGGTTGTGACTTTATAGACATGAGCAGAATATACTTTCATTTTATAGTGTATATCATACTTGTTTTTTTCGGGGATTGTAGATTGAAATTCTCATATATAGAGGTGAAAAAGAACTTGAAGAATTGCAGTCCAAGTGGTAGCATTAGGTTTTTGTAAATGCTGAGTTTTTTCAGATGAAGTAAAGGTATTTGGGAGGCTATGTATATATATTTTCAGCATCCAGTGGTTAAAATGAGTGATGGACATCAGCTTAAATTTAAACCTTCTCTTGCCAATTCAATAGTTACAGGTTAAATGGTTTTAATTTCACCTTTTTATACTACCCAATTTAATGAATTCCAAGTAGGAGGAGTATATCAAATTATTTCAGGTGAAAATTGATACATACACTTACTCACTTTGTTCTCTCCAAATTTGGAATTCAAAACTTTACCACTTAAATGATTCATAAATCTGTGTTGAAGGAAAGGGCGACTGTTTCATAATCTTATGATTATGATGCTTTTGATAAATTGAAAGTAGCTGATTGTTATAGAAATACTTAAAACTCTGTTTCAAAATCTGACTAGTTTTATGTTATCACGGCCTTGTTTCTCTATTATGGGATGAGTCCTGTGACTAAAAAAATATCCTAAGGATTACTGTCCCGTAAAATAGATAATTTCTTGATACCTTCTAATTGTAGAAATTGAAGTTGTGTCATACGGGAACATTTTAAAAGTTCTGGAAATGCTGTTTTATTCGTTTCTAAAAGGGAATAAATATGTCTGGATGGGGGTTACACTTGAGGTATTCAAACAACATCTTGTGAGTATTTGGACTTAAAACAGTGGCAAGAAGAGCTGTGCAACCTCTTGCTGTTGACCTAATCAGCATTAACCGCATCTGATGATGCAGTTTGTCTAATCCAGTCCAAAAGTTTAGTTGGCCCAAAAGAATTCTGGTCAGCTGTGCAGCAGTGTGAGTACACCAGGGTGCTCAGTGGCTACAGCGACTCTGCCAATAATGAAATCTGCTGCTGCTGAGGCTGGGGAGCCCTGAGGCTTGATGGAGGAGGAAGAAAGAGGGGCACTGAGAAGGGACGATCATCTTGACATTCTTGCTCTCCCTGATTGTTCTCAGCATAAGACTGGCTACTTCGGAGGAGTTCAGTAAAGGCCATCTCTTTCAATCATGGCAGCCATCGGTGTTTTGGGAGCTGCCAAGCCAGAGTGTTAGACTCTTCTTTTTAGAAACAGAATTTGAGACAGCCCTCAAGAAACAACCTGTGTTGTACTTCCAAAATAAGATGCACAAAATTTTGTGTAATTCTTAAATTGTTTTTTGTTTAAATTAGCATGTTATCAGTTTCCTCGTTTGTCCTGTCATAACTGGAACGTATACACTTTCCTGAAAGCTGGAATTTTAAGAGGTATCCATTTTTAAGGTAATAAGGATGGTGTTGAAGTATTATGTCAATGTCTCTCTACCAGGAAAAATGCTATCAGAAGAGGTGATTTCTATTTAAACGAAAAGTTTTCTTCACACTCTATTACAGCTCTGTTTTCAGTATTAGCTGCCTTCATGTATGTTATATAAAATATACAGGCTTGTAAGTGATGATACTGTTAAAGCAGAATACCAAATATTGGCATGTATCCACCAACGCTTCTGCAGGGGTGTAACTGTAATATTAATAGGACTAATATGCTTATTTTTAATCAGTTTGTGTGAAAAAGGCAGCTAGCATAGGGAACTTCGAGAATGGCATAAACGCTGGAAAAGTAAGAGTTTCATGAGAATTTGTGAATAATCCTAGGTTCAAAGTTACCAGTAGAGATAAAACCTCTACCACTGGCAGGCATTTTAATCTTTGGGTTGATGAAGATGGGTTATAGAAATATAGATTTATTTTTTGTTTTAGAATGGAATTTTTTTTTACACTAGCCTTTTTTAATTTGTTGTGAAATTTTTTTAACAAATTGGGGATTTGTTAGTTGGGATGTTATAGATTGAAATACTAAAGTAGGCATGACAATGAAAATACTGTATTTTTTAACGTACTTTTTTAATAGTCAGGACTGCTATGGGTAGGAATTGTACATGTCTGTATTGCTGGATAGCATCTAGCATGGTAAGGCCTTAACTGGGGTCCTTGGTTACTCTTGCAATATAAATAACTATGTGAACAGCTCTGATATGAAAATAGTCATACTGATGGATTGGTTGGAAGGCATTCCAAAATGGAAGTTTAATAGTATTTCTCAATTAATAGGTACTTAGCTTGATATTTATTTACATCGCATAGCTTTGCATAAATCAGTATTTGGGTTATTGTCTTAGAAATATATTTTCTTTATTCAAGCAAGATTTTTACTTAATGTTGGATTAAATCTACACTTAGGCTCATTTTTATATTTAGGGAATTATTGGCCTTGTCATCAAGCTTTAGGAGAAAGCAAATCATACTTTTTTTTTTAGCTTATGGCGCCACTTGTTACTTGTCTTTCTACTCCACACCAGTGCCCACATTATATGTAGATTTTTACCTCTTTCATTTTATATCCTAATACAAACATTTTCAGCAAAACTTGTACTATGCAATAGTTCCAATTGTTTGTTATTTGTCCATTCCTTCTTGTGAAGGATTTGGTATTGACTAGTATGTGTAACAGGCTCCAGGACTAAGTGGGTGTTAGCCTTAGAACAGTGTATCCTTCTCTGACTGGTCACCAAAAGATCTGTCCTTTTCTGCCCGATTCTTAGCCTTCCCTTACCTGCTTCGGGAATGTTGCAGATTAAATGTTCTAGTACGAGTTACGTGATCTGGTTTTTGAAGTTAAAAGCATATGCTACTATGTTGTATCTACAAATTAACAGGAAGCTTCAGGTTTTAGAGCAGAAAAATACTGCTCTCAGTTGTCAGAAATATTAACAAACTCACTTCTGTATTTTGCATTAAGTATATTCAAACACGATATGAAGTGATCTGTCTTTTAATGGCCTGCCCCAAAATTGTTTGAGGTGAGGTATGGTAGGAGGTGATTTTTAAGTATAAAGATCCTTAACTATTATGGGTAAGAAGGTTAGAATAAATTACATGTAAAACAAATATATCTTTGTGATTCTTCCTGGATAGTGGTTTTCCTTCGCAATTTGCAAGTGACAGATTCACTGAGAAGCACCTTGAACGCATGCCACTTAATAATAATAATAAAGAGACAAATTAATGTCCAAGATGTAAAGTATGGGAGTGTTCCTGTTTACTCCTGTGTCTGCTTGGAACAGTTTTCTATTTCTATTTCTAGCCTTCCTTTATGTTTTAAGCTTATTTCTGTACAATCTCTTCAGACGACTTCTAGCATTTAAATATATTTAAAATGTAAATACATTTAAGTTCCTTGTTACACTTCATGGAAGTTTCTTGTGTTTGCTGCTAATAAAAAGCATTAAATTAAAACAAAACACTTTCTGAGGAAAATTTTACATGGGGTAAGGTTTGTCTAATGACTTTACACGTAGAATTAAATAATTTAAGAATAAGTGATGTCTGCTTTTTTGTTGTTTTTTTCTGTGATCTGAAGATGTATTCCTTTTTCAAGGTTGCAAGTAATGTATTTGAATTAAACTTTGTTCCTCTTGCAAATCACTGTGTGGTGGAGAGGAGGGCTATTTTTAAACAAATGCTGGATGTGACTACTGATTTAAAGGTGTATGTACAATTGTGTTTTGGAATGTCTTCAGTAAAGCAGTTTTTACAAATAGAAGTAAATTGGTTTGTTTTATCTGCAGCAATTTTATGTTAAAATTTTAAAAATAACACTCAGATTCGATGCTGTCTTTAGGAAATACACAGGCATAAAGTCATCAAATAATACATTCTTGTGTACTGATGTGGCAATTCAGTACGTGTGGCATGAATATGTGGTGAAAATATCAGTTCTGTCATAAGACTGTCCTGCTGTGGCACACTGGGTGTCTGTACAGAAATGGTGATTAAGCTCCATCTATGTGGAGACTAGTCTGAGAACATCTCTTCCAGTAACCACTTGAGAACTCTCCACTGCATGGCCCAACTCTACAGATTTTGTTGACCTTCGTTTCTTAGAGATAAACGTATAGCGGAGTGTGTGTGAGATAATGCACACACATTAGACATTCTTTTTTTTTTTAAGAAAGAGAACTTTGCTGTGTCTGATCAATGTACTTAACTGCATGTGCTTCTTTTGAGGGTGAAAGATGTTAGCTGTGTTGTTTCATGATGATTGCTACAAGTCTAGTGTAAGAGCTTGCATAGACTAGAGTTGCTGGAACTCTTCATCCATTATACAGAGACTGACATGTACTTAGGCTTTGTCAGGTGTAAATTCAGCATATGCAAGTGATGCAGTTACTAACCTCCAGCATGCCTGCTGCTAGATATTTTTCACTTACCTGGTGTTTGTCTAGAGTCTAAAATCTGTATGTGGTTCTGTTTTCAAATATTCTAGCTTATGATGTAACCTAGAAGTCACCATTAACACCTAAATCATACCTGATTTCATCTGCTTACTCGCTGTGTTTTCATGTTCAGAATCTCTCGCTGTCCTCGTTTCCATCAAATCAGTCAATTAATTGGGAAACCTGGGACTCTGCTGTCTACTTATTTTTACCAAAGGAACCTCTGTCATTTTATAGAAACGTTCATTTTTTGACTCAAGTGCAGTTTTATTTCTCTTACTTACAAGACTTCTGTGCATTTCTAAAATGACATGTGTAGACTTGGGGAAACAAGATGAGAAGGGACATCAAGAGGTCATCTGCTCTATACACCAGCCTAAGGACAGGCTTATGTATCTACATCTTTGTTAATCTTGACACATACCAGTATTTTTCTCTTACAACCTCTGTGATTAAGTTTCTAAAACATCCCTGGTCAACACCACTTGAAATACTTAACTATCCTTACTACTAAAAGGGTTTGATAAGGCAAAGTATTTTTATTTGATATTTTTAATATGGATTTCCCTTAAGGTTATTAGTTGTCCTATCTGCTGCGGACATGAAAATTGCTCTCATTTTATGCAGCAACCTTTTGCACATTTGATGAGTATAAAAGGCTGCACCGTCACATCTCTCTTCCATTTATTTTAATGTCTTCTGATAAACTAGGTAAATTCAGTTCCTTTTTTTTTTTTTTTTTTGTTAGAGAACTAGAAACCGTGATCAACACTCATAATTTTTTTTCCATTTTTCTCAGAACTTTCTTGAAGGATAGAGCCAAAGACTATGCACAGTACTGCTGGGTTTCTTTTCTGAAGTTACTTTATAATACTGTTTACACAGAGAGGATCAGATATCACATTCAACTTGTCTAATAATTCCTCTAGAGCCTGTGGGACTCTATGTCTCTGCTGAACTTTGTTCCAGCCTCAAAATAAGCTGTGCAGTGACACCATCTGGTTTATTTTTGCCTATATAATTCTTCCTCATTTAAATGCTGTTTCAACCTAATTCAGTTTAATCTGCTGTATAAAAACCCTCTCCTTTGCTTGTAATAGCTTTGTTTGTGTCCCCATTTGGTGTTGTCCACACAGGACTTCTCCTGTTTTTGGAAACAGAATTGACATTTCTCCCACAAGAAAAGTTTGCGGGGAGGGGACAATATACGTTATCAGGCTAACTAATTTTGAAAATGTAGATGAGCTTTTTGTTACAGGAGACCTTCAGTTCTGAAATAGCTGTAAACTTTGAAGCTAAACATGAGTTGAGAGCAGTCATTGTGAATTTATCATAGTTAATCAGATAGTTGAAGAGAATATTTCTGCTGCTTAAGGTTGAAATGATGAATAAAAGAACCATGACAAGGATTTTTTTCCTTTTTGTTATGATTCACTTAGAGATTCTCCATGATCATTGTTTGTTTAGAAAAGCCTTGAAAATAATTTCTTAATGCAATAAAGAGAAAGGAAAAATAAGAGACATTGTAGTTTTCTTCTCCCTTTTGGTGTTCCTGCATGGACAACTAGAAATGGGTAAGCTCTTACTGAATTAAGAATTAGTAAGCTTCAATTGCTTGTATTGTCTGTGACTACCATGAAATACTACATTCCTGAAATACAAACATGAAAATCTGGTAACTCATTTCACCCATAGTATTTTCCTGCCTAAGGTCATAATTGTCATATTGACAGTCTTTCTGATAATAGAACATGAATTTGACCTGTGTTTGCAGCATTTGATTATACAATCTGTGATTGGATGAGAAAAAGAATCACAGTTACGTTAATCAGAACCGGTGAAAATTAATGAAGGGGAGAAAGATGGTTGTTTTTCTTGAAGAGAAAACTTTGGTCATTCTCTGCTTTCTCTTGCAATACAAAGATTCCAGGGAAAAATCTCAGGAGGATGGAGAGAGGAAAACTGTTGCAGTTCACGCAGTTGATAGGATAACTTGGCCTACATACCACAAAGACTACTCAATTTGAAAACTCAGAAGACATGTCTGTTGCTAGAATTCACAATTATAGTAGCTGAAATATTTTGTGACTTTGAAAAGTATAAACTACTTCTTGAAGATAAACCAGACTTTAAAGTAATATATTAATCAAAGATGTGTTGTCTGACAAATTCTGTTTGTAGTTTTATGTTGAATGCAGCAAGTACTTTTGGAGAAAAAAGGAACAAGGGTTTTTTCATTCTCCATTTCATTTTCAAGATGGAAAAATTCTTCAACATTGATTTTGGTGGTTTTAATTTCAAATCAACATTTTAAGAGCAAATTAAGTTATGTAAAATTGAATGTGGAAGCAAAACTGTTTGCAATAGTTCGTTACTTTTCTTGATGTGGTTTTGGTTTTGGGTAGACTCAGGGCTGTTGTGGTTTATTTGGCATTTTTCTCTGCCTCCTTGCTTTTTCCCAAATTTACTCCTTGAGCTTGAATAATCAGTGACTCGTACCACTCAAGGGCTGTTGTCTTATGCAAGCAGCTTTTTTTCTTAAGGACTTTTATGAAATGTGGCTTTACCTTTCCCTTGTCAATAATGCAGGTTTGGAAGTTGATGGGAACTTTAGAGTGCTATATAGTTTTACAAACAAGAACTTAAGTAGTTGGGCATACTGACTTCAAGGAGGAAGTCAGGACTAAAAAAAAAATTGAAAAAATAATACCATGACTAGGAGATGAAAAACATTTCATTGTTACTGCATTTGTGAAAATGGTAGTAATTTTTATTATATGTAATATTTTTTCTCAAAGTGACTACAGTTGAATGGGATTCACAGAACTGAGCTGTGGTAGTTGGTTTTTTTTTGTTTTTTTTTTTTATTTTCCCTGCTACTGGGCAGGAAAGAATCAAAGTGCAGTTTTTTATTATTGAATTTGTGTGGTCTCTTTGAACAACCTGCCTGCCAGGTTTCTTAGGAATCTTATTTAGGTGGCCCTGTTCATTACCTTTGTTAATAAAGTATTGCCAAATAATAGCTTGAAATCTGTAGGTAAAGTTGCACTGATAGCTGAGCTGATTTAAGAGCTTGACATTGTCAAAGAAAAATCTTCCTCATTTCTACCTAGAATCGTAGACTCATACCTGTGTGCCTTCCACCTCTCCTTGTATAAGCTCCATTCTTAATGCTCTAAGATACTGCAACTGAGTAAACTATGAGAATCCTACATCAAGACAAATTTCTTTGCCGGGTTACGGAGCTGGATCAGCTCAGCACAAGGTCCAGACAGCACCTCCTTCTGGGAGGGATCACAGAACTGAAAGCTGGCACATGGGGAGGAAGGAGGGGCTTTAGGTTTTGAAAAGGATCAGATTCTTCATGACTTGATGGAGGTGAGCTATTGATTGCTTCAGCTGTATGTAATGCTACTATTTGAGAAGCTGAATTGTACAATGTGTTTTTCAGGAGAAAATCGGTGCCCAGAAATTGTGGTAAATTCTTATGAGTCCCATGTCATGTGTCCCCTGTTCCCCGGTCAAAACAAAATGAATAATTTGAGTTGATCTTGTCCTCTTAAAAGACTACAGGTATTTTCTGGTGATCTATTTCTGTTATTTTATAGAAAGTCTTGTCTTTTTTTGTTTTAATTGCAGATGCAGTAGCTACCAGAACCCGGAAGATGACCTCGCCAAAACCCAAGAAAGGCACAGCAACCAGAAAGAGAGTCCAGAAGTAAATAAAAGATGGAGCAACAAATTAAGTTGCTCTTTGGCTCATCTCTGGGTTTTTTTCAGTTACTGTAGCACTGGAATTTTTTTCTTTCCTTTTTAAATGATGAGTCTTGTAAAAACATGGACTGCTGTTTGTACCCATTTCTGAAGAATAAATGTTTTATTAAAATATTAGCATAATTTATGCATGCCTAAATACTAATGCAAAATTTTCCCGACTTTGAAGTGAGGATGTGTTTTTATTCTTTATACACATGATTTCAGATCTTAAAGGCAAACTAAAAGAAAGTGGTTTTTTTCTGCTTTATAATGTAGAAATAAAGCCTTATTTAGTTTCTTTATGGGTACTTTATAAGGAACAGTGGTGTTGCATCTGATTTCTTCTACTTTTGAGTGAAATCTTATTGGACATCACTGATAGGACATCTGAAATGGCAGAGACATCTTTTAAATATTTCTCAAGTGTTTGAATTAAAAAAAATATGACAAAAATCACATCCTTCCATTCTAGTTTGTTATAAGCTATGTTTAAACAATTCTTTGGAGATCAGGTAGTGAATTGTAGGGTTTTTTTGCATAGTATTTGTGTTTGTATCACTTTTCCAATTATTCAGAGTTTCTCTAGAAAGGAGACCAGAATTTCAGACGTAGGGTCCAGGGCAAAGAAAACCAACCAAAAACCAATGCCCATTCTCAACCTCCCCCTCAGGTTTTGATTTTATATTAGTGAAAAGACTAGTAAAGATATAATTATGAAGAATAACTTTGTAAAGTATCTAGTTCCAGTGAAAGCTTGACTCACATGTGCTTCTTATAACAAAATAATGGTTTACCTTTTTTTAGTAGTTGAGAAGCACATAACCTTTTTTAAAAGTGCTTCCTTGCTTGTCTTTGAGTCTTCAGAGTTGTAAGTAAAAAAATGCAGTGTTTAATTTCAGTGTGAGATACTGCTACTTCTCATTTAGATACTGCAAAAATACATCTCATTTGGGCATGAACATGTTTCTTATCAGGGGGACTGCTTTACGAAGTTTGGCAAAGCAAAAGGAATCCATATGAGCCAATGGGCAGTGCGTTTGTGTGGATGTCTAGTGCTCTGCTTGCTTGATTGTGTAATGTCCGAGTAGCTACTCACTGAATTAAATATGTTGTAGCATAAAATGTTGAATGAATGATGAGGTTATGTTTTGAAAACAAGGGAGTCTGTTGTTTTGAAATAAAACTGGAATAACATTTAAAAGGTCTAGTGCCTTCTCATTTCTGTTCTGACTGCTATGCAGACTCATTTTCCTGGGTATTTGCAAAGTGTCGCTGACTACTTTTAAGCATAAAAATAAGTAAAAATAGGACTGCTAAAGCCTCACTCATATTTAAAAGTCCTCAAATAAAACTATCTTATTAATGACTTCATATAATCATGTTGTTCAAAAAGTGTGTTACACTGTTCTGAAGAACTATTGTCAGGAAGGCATATTGTGTTCTCTTGCTTGTCTTGCATACTCAAAGTTAATATTCTTTTGCACTTTAGTTGTTTGATGTTTTAATTTTTTTAGGAACTTATTTACTGGTAAACTTCCTTTCTTTACTTTCCAGGGAAATGTGTTTCCTTTTGACACTACCAAAGGCAAATGCAACAAGAACAGACATTTCCATATACTTGAAAAGAACGTTTTGAGGTGCAGATTTTGGTTTGTACTGGCAAGTGTTCTGTGAGGAAAAAGGGTGCTTTCCATTCTAGGTGAATGTTGTTTCAGGGCTGGTCTCTGCTCACAAGAGGCTGCACAAAACTCCGGTCTGCACAGGCAGGAATGTCTCTGGCTCACTGTAAACTGCAACAATGTTTAAAGTGTGGGATGGTCAGGAGGAGCCGTGTGGAAGGCTGTGATAATGCCTGCAGTACTACTGTATGTATTGTATAACATGCTTGCACGTATGTGTTTTTGCCGTTTTGCAAAGCAGTGATGGGGAAATACACCACTTCATAAGAGGCAGAGGGTGTAGTAGGTTTTTGTTGACATCCCCATTTGAAAGTAAAGCCCCTAACACAAAAGAAGCAAGCTGCCTTTAGACTGCATTTACTGCTCTTGATGACTCCAGTTGTGTGTAAATATTAGAAAACAGCAGGGTCCTGCATTCCAAGAATCACTTGAGCAGTGCCATGAAGACAAGTGTCCTTACTGGTATTGTAGTTATACTCCCAAGCTCTCCTGCTGTTTCTAATCTGTGCGCACAGCCGTGAAAAAACTGGACTGACATTTACAGGCACAGCAGGGAGACACTTGAGTAGGGAATGTTAAAGACTCCGCTACCTATGTTTCAAAGTGGCCACCATACATGACAAATCTTGACAGGAGAACTAGTCGGCACTTCAGCTGATGGCATAATGAGAATATTGATAATGAAGCACAGAATGCTTCTTTTAGTGCTTGAACATTTTGCAGACAGATTGTTTATATTTTTTCCCCGAATCTAAAATATCTGGAGAGAGAATCAAATTCAGGACGGGTATAAGATATATGGTGCTGATTTGATAATTTTTACAGGAATATTTCCCAATAAGTTAATATAAATTGATAACATAATTCCCAGTATCTGTTGCAGCTAGCATTAAGAAGGGGGTCAGTTGCTTTCCTGGGTAGTTTGACAGACTTCACTCACTGTTTTGTCCCAGTGAGCTGCCAGATTTGGGATGCCATAATACCAGTAATGCAATTAGGTTTTCTGCACGTTGTCTGGTTGACTTCTCAGTTAAGAGTTTCTTTCCCTTTGGGAATAAGACTAGACAGACTGTCATTTGCTATTACTAATTCTGCTTAGCATTATCACTGGAGCTTTTTTGTAATTAGCTATCTTAGTTGGCTCTTAAATTTTAATAGCCAATTGAAGCTACATTTTAGCCAAGTTCCATATCTAAATTGCATTCAGTCCATTAACAAAGTTGGTTAAAAGGCTATTAAAACAAAAGCCAATATATGGTGGTTAGCACTTACATGTTTGCAGTAGTAGCAGTACCAGCCTCCAATGAATATTCTCAAGAAATAGCACTTCCTTCTAGCAAAGGAAGTGCACGAAGAATGACCAAAATTTGTTTTGGGAACAAAGGCTGATTATGCAGAGTACTTGCAGAAAAGAACAAAAATGAAGTGTGTCTTTTCTGGAAGAAGGTGGGAGAAATGGGAGGGAGAGATAGAGAAGGGGGCAATTAATGGTTCTGCTCAGATTTGACAGGTTCTGGAAAAGCCAAATAAACGCAGTGATGTTTTTCTCCATTTCAGCTGATCAAAATTATTAGCAAAACCATCTGAAGCACCTTCTGGTGGAATTGTCATCTTGCTGAGTTTAGTTTGTAAAACATCCTGCCAGACATTAAAAAAACTGTAAGCATGCCAGCACATAGGCTCAGAGCACCGCTTCTGTAATTGATAGACCTTATAATTTTCTTTTTTGCTGAAGACCATGGCTGGATACCTCAGCCTCCTGAGTAATTTAACGTAGCATCAGTCTGAATTTTTTATCCCTAGTAGCACTTGTTTAAATTAGATTTTTCCCCTCTTTTCTTTCTTAAGGTGTAGACAGGAGATTAACAGCCTTTGGATCATCCTGTGACAAATAATGGCTTTCTCTGACTTTTCTGCCTTAAAAAAAAATCTTTACTGTTGTGAAGATATCAGATATTAATACCGCTACAGTTTTAATAGAGAGTCTACCAGTTGCTGATGAGTTGTTTCAAGGATGGTTTGCAGTACCCTGTATGGGTGAGAAGTATCAGTAGCTTCATTGTAGGAGGTGTGAAGTAATAGGTGTCTGAATAACCATGATATATATGCTCTTACTAGCATATATAGTGGGACATCTAAATGAGAGTTTCCATAGTGCGCCACTTCCATTGTTAAACAAGATGTAGAGCTGGTGCTCACTGAATGTGAGTCAGATCCTGTTGTAGCTGGACTGCAACATCAAACTGACTGGAAAAGCTCTGTGGCAATTGCTTCACCTCCCATCCTGTTTGGGGTGCTGGGCTTTTTTGTAATGATGCGGTACTCAAGGCAGAAGGAATCTGCTTTATCTGTCTGAGGACAGATTTTCATTGTGTTCTTTCTCACAGGCAGAGAGAAAGCAGGTGCGGTGCAATCAGCTTACTCAGAAATTCCTAGAGTCCTAGAGAGCTGGGATCTCATGGATAGTTTTATGCAACTGCGTGCTAGCTTACATGCATTTGAGTTTTACTCCCTGGTATTTTCAAGACTGGGCGGCTGCAGATTTAGAAAGGTGATTGCATGAATTCTTTGCTTCATTTTAGGCCTTCTTTATCTCTGTGGATGATACCTCTATAGCAACAGTCTGGGTTTGCTTTTTTTAATTCCTTTTCTCCTGAAAGGGTATAGAGGAAAGGGGACGTAATGTTTCTGTGAACTGGGTTTTGTGTGGATGCTGAGTAAGCCAGACAGCTCAGAAAAATACAACAGCTCTACCTGGATGCTACAGACTAGTTTTCTGTACAATGACACGCCATGTTTTTAAACATGCAGTCACCAACAGTATTGCACTTGTACTTCTTTCTAGTGGTCTGTGTTTCATCTTATCCCAACCAAAACCTGTCTTCACAGAATCACAGAATGGTCGGGGTTGGAAGGGACCTCTGTGGGTCATCTAGTCCAACCCTCCTGCCAAAGCAGGGTCACCTACAACAGGCTGCAGAGGACCTTGTCCAGGCGGGGCTTGAATATCTCCCGAGAGAGAGACTCCACAACCTCCCTGGGCAGCCTGTTCCAGTGCTCCGTCACCCTCAGAGGGAAGAAGTTCTTCCTCATGTTCAGACGGAACTTCCTATGCTTCAGTTTGTGCCCATTGCCCCTTGTCCTGTCGCTGGGCACTACTGAAAAAGAGTTTGGCCCCATCCTCCTGACACCCACCCTTCAGATATTTGTAAGTATATATTAGGTCCCCTCTCAGCCTTCTCTTCTTCAGGCTGAACAAGCGCAGCTCCCTCAGCCTCCCCTCGTAG